TTCTGCATATTAACTGAGGTTTTGTCACATTTTGTGAAATACGTCTTGAGACTAATCGTTACTTTTTTTTAAAATGTGTAGTTAACATTGGGTGGTTTAAGGCACTTGTCATTCGGTAAAGTGTACAAGGTCAGTTCAATGACTAAGGAGGAGACGTTTGAATGGGATTCGCTGCACCATCCAGTGGTTAGTAGGTAATATCTGCTATTGTTCAGTTTTAATTATCAAAATAACTGGCTACACAGTTATCGAAGCACAACATAATCAACCACCAAGGAGAAATTTGGTGCCATCTTTGGTTTGCTCAGAAACAAAAAAACCCGAGAAAACCAGACAGGCACCTAGATGGGTTTGTTTCGATCACACCTTAGCCCGCAATCAGGTTCTGGAACATACCCATACTTACCAACACCCAATTCTAGCTACTTCTTGACCTGAATATGGAAATCGACTCCGTCAACCGATCTTATGAGAGTGTTACGTACCAAAACAGGAGCTAAATAAGTCCATCAATCTGTTGAAGGCTCTACATTCGAATACCTGTGGGCGTGTCAGACCTGGTCAATAGCTGCTACCTCAACGTGGAGGTCGAGCTAGTATATCAGTGACTCGACGTGCTACGCTGACTGGAACGCTTGTTCCCTCGAGGTCCTGCCTTAACAGAAAGTATAGTGACCAAACGAAAAGCAATTACCGTTGTAGAGTTAATTACTAAACCAGGACGAGGGTTTGAGGGCGAAGTCGTACTGTTAACTGGACGGGGTGTGACAGTAGTGAGGCGTTCCTTTCGGATGGCCAGTAGTGTCACGCCTATATGCTGCTTTCGCAATGGGAAGGAGGGTTACAAACGTCGGCCTCGAAAATAATAAACCCCTTCTTCTCCATGTTTTTTTCGTGCTGGCGGTATTGGTTCTCCATGAACGGCGTTAGAACAAGCAAACTTCAAAATAACAGCCCGCAGAATGTCATGTCTAATAGGCCTAAAGCAGATGTCACATAGACCCTGCGGTCACGTAAATCTTTTCCTCTTCAGGTACTTTAATAAGAAATAGGCTTCCACGATGTAGGCAGCCGGGAGGTGTCAGCCATCTGCACGCTCCGTGCAGTACACAAGACACAATCGAATATAGACTCTCTTCCTTCGTCTTCACCTTCTGATACTAGTAAACTTTTTACACCTTCCCCAACCCCTCACACTGCAACCATTGTCAACACCAAAGACATCGAAACCCCACTACTAGTTTCCTAAGACCACGACATCGATTTCATGGGAGAACTTCCAACGTCTTAAGTCTATGCAACGTTGAACAGCAAGCATCGTTCGCCAAAAACTCTGGAATCTCCAACCATGAATGTATGCTGTGCCTCTGAGACATGTACACATCACCAGAGTATGGTTATTAAACTAGCCTCCCCTGGTCATAATAGTGAACCCTCTAAATTCATTTTGAGAGCATCCGGATACCCAACGGCTAACTCCCAAGGCCTCTCTAGTGTAGGCATGGCATTGAGCTGTAGAACAGAAAGTACGCTTCTCGACTGGATACAAGTTAACAGCATCGAAGAGTGAACTTATCTGCATTACTACGAACGACTTCCAACCTCATCACCAAGAGTCTTCAACCATAAATTCCTATTGTCTCGATGACCACAACGTTGGCTGCACCTTCCTAAACGTCTCAAGACCAGTCATACTTACATAAACTAGAACTATATATTGGTCCGACCACCTCAAGTATTCTTCCAAAACAATCCTATTGAGGCCAACATCGCACGTTGAGCTAGGCAACACCTTGGCACACAGAACACGCGCCCAAGTAACCTTAGTCACTAAAGGTTCACAGTCTCGTCCACTAACTTGTCTGTCTTACCTTGTACCCTTCGCTCAACCTCCACATCAATCACACGGTATTTCCTACCACACACACTCGTGGTCAACAACCTGTTACATCTACTCTCAAAAACCGTGTCTCATACACGAACAATAAGACAGAGAGGACTGCGGCACTACACTTCTTCCCTTTGGTACGTAGTCACATCTCTCATTAGCCCAACAGACGACATGTTGGTGAATAACAAACAGGCCTTCTCAATCCGAATTGTGATCCTATCAACAACCAACCGACTTCACCTGATTAAACCTTCCGAGTTAGTGAAGTGGTCAACGCATTTAGCCAATACGCTTCCAACCCTCAAATTAGTAGTTGATGCAGACCAGCCCGAAGCATCATCTTATAGTTGACAGGTGCAAAGCGTACGCCAAATGCTTAGATTTATGTTCAAGGAGTTCAGAAGTGTCTGCGTTTCGTCAGCGTCTCAGCTTAACCGTGCAACGTCATCTGCATACTTCAATTTAACAAGGTACCCTCCAGAGAGAAGGTCAATTTCTGTGAAGTTAGAGGCAGTTGAGATTATGCTCATTAATACATTTATAACGAAGTCAAGTTGAAATGGTGACACCAGGTATTCGTGATGGAAAAGCTATCAGGTCCTACTGCTTTGCATCCTTCCAGGTTTCAAACGCCCTTCTCAACTTTGAGGAGAGTTAGAGAACCAACATCAACGTCCCACTCGGGTTCGGACTGGAGGCTTGGCAACTGAAGCTTTTCTGTAGATCAGTTGTTCTCAGTGTTCAACCCAACTTCTAAGTCACTTGTCATGAGGTTATCGAGGCACTTTCTTTATCGGTAGCCTCACTGAGAATCCTCTTCTTCCTGCCAATTCCGTTAATAGGCTGAAATAACTGTCGAGTATCACCTAGTGTTGATGCCTTCTCCATCTCTTTCGCTTCCGCCATACACTATTGCTCACGATCACTGTGATGACTTTTCGTCAATATACGTTTACGCTGCTCACTGTGATAAGAGTCAGTTAAAATGAGTCTTCTCACACCAATCATTTAGGATGACTTTGTACATTGAATCCCTTCAATAATTTAGTAATAACCGAAACAGGACTTGGTTATGAAGTAACAAACAACTAACAACACCAAAAGGTGAAAGACAACAGGTCAGAGATAAAAATCGACTAGCTAATATGCACCAGATATGTTAGTGGGAAATGTATAAATAACATATTTTTACGGCTTAGATAATGTGGGAAAAATTTAAGTCTGATGGCAATCTGTCAGTGAAACAGCAAGTTCCAAAAAGACTAATTCAACAATGTAGGTATGTTGAATATAAAAATCAAAGATAACGGTACAAACGGATGTATCACATCCCTTTTATTACTATTCCTATATGAAAAGTCCAAGTTTGAAAATAACAACAACCTGAATCATGAGGCAATTAGCGAAAGCCATGGCACTATATCATCTAAGAAAAAAAACGCTACGTTTCTAGTAATACTTCGAAAAACCACCCATAAAACTACAATTTCAGAGAAATTTTAGCCCATGTTTTCCTAAATGCTATCGCACTAGAGACAGATGATTCCTGATTGGAAAACTAGTGTTTTCTAAACATCTTGTATATGAGCAAGAGAGCTCAAACTATCCGAGAACTAATAGTCGTACATTTAATGCCATCTCTTTTCAGTGATTCGTTGGGTCAAAATGTTCCATGTTAGTAAGTGGTGTCAACTTCGGACGCTTAATAATTGAAATTCACCCCCGCTAGTAATCTCGAATAAAAAGCCGATGAGTCATAGTGAAATTGGAGTACAGTAAATCTTGCTTTATTAACATCCTTTTCATGAAAATAGATTTTTACTTAGATATATGACTGTACCCATATTCATGGAATGAAGCGGCGTCAGTAAGATTGTCAACACTCTGGAAGTTATTTTGCAGGTAGAAAGTAACGACCTTGGAGAAAACGAAACAGCTACTGATAAGAACCTTCACTCTACCTTCCTCATTCACTCCTAGACACGTATACGCCAGCCGCTAACTTCTACCCATAGATCCAACAGTATTGTAACAGAATCAGACATTCGAATCGAATTCCAAATCCCGTAGTACATCCGTGGAATAGGCAATGAGCCATACCTAATCTGTGAGGGCTAATGATGTTACTTCAAACCTCGGCAGGTGGGTTCAAGCTCATGACTAATGGGTTAGGAGTCAGGTTCTTGAGCCAATGAGCCACATTTGAGACATTACAAAAGAGAAAACTGCTTTGCTTTGTTGCGCTGAGCAACATTTGTAGCAATGGAAATCTACGACCAAGTAAAAGACTGAAACAACATCCAAATTTCTGTGCAACTGTTTCATGATGATAAACGTCGAAGCTCCGAATATCTGATAATGTAGGAAGTAATACTGCAGTCCCGACACCGTAAAATAATTAACCTCAAAATACTGTATCGCTAAAACTACGAACCAATTTTTATTGAGTTGAGTTGTAGTCGATATTTGAAAGTGAGCTATATCTCCAAATTACTTTTAGTCGTCAACCGTTTCTGAAGACTCTTTAAATTGGTAATAACTTGCCAAGACAGTGAGGTTTTCACCTGTGTTTCCGCTAAGATTATTTTTATCATAGTGTATTCACCTACTATTATCATGTTATTCTTGACCACTGACAGGTGATAAACTCAAATTGTATTTTTCTTACTTGTTTAAAGCAAATCCATTAATAGAGTCGTCGTGACTTTACGAAGAGATAAAATACCTTCACTAGGACGTTATCAGAGGAGCATATTTGCGAGCATACACAATCAACAGTGTTAGCTAAGTGACCACCAAACAACCTACCGACCATGAGTAAGAATAGTGTTCCGAAAGTAAAACCTAGTCATGGTAGATAAAAATTAGTACCGACATCTTTAAGAAGTCATTTAGAAGTTCTAACTTACTTCATAATTGAGCCCCTTCTAGTATCTTAGTACTAGGCGGCCGAACGCAACATGAAGGCTTATGACACTACCCGGCGGCCTAGGTTAAAGTAGTTGAAACTAAATTTGAACCCCAGAACCATTAGCTGAAAGTCAAGTACTTAATACAATGAGTAACACCTTAACAGAAATGTCACCTATTTAGTAAAGAGAACAAAACATTGTGTTGAAAAAAATATATTTACAAAATCTGTGGGATAAAGTTCTACTTTGTGACAGTAAAAAATATTCCAAGTTAACGATCAACTTGGTAAAAAAGCCTCAGCAGGCAAAACCCCAGCCTCATGCACCTTTTGAAATGAATACAATGCAGAATCCAAGTCAAATTGACACTCAGTTAAACATTGCAACGAATAAGCTTTATTCATCCCAGTTGTTAGTGATAACTGGTCAACTAATTTTGAAATGACAACTTCATCAGGAATAAAACATGCTTTTTGAACTGATAATGAATTGGATGGTGCTTGAGAAGCCATAAAGTTAGAAACAGCCTCCGTAATAATCAGTGAGCATTCCTAAAACATAATCGGAATAAGAAACTCACAAATCCAAATGATTTTATACAGCAATCAAATTTTAATTCAACCGTAATTAAGTTATAAAATACAGACTCTACTATGACTTCAAGGATTTATTATATGGGGAGTGCTGTCAAGTTAGTAGGTTAGTACTCAACTAGAGCGTAATTAACAAAACACTGGTCTATTTCTGTCAAATACTATTATCGAAAGAGAAACTGGATTAGGATTTTATTATGCATTATGCATTTCACCAGGAATCAACAGATGTCCAGAAATTCAGTCATTATATGTACCTTATTGTTGGATACCATGGCTACCAAGACGGTACAGTACTTCCATTTATTTCATATTTACGTAACAAATACTTAAAATCAACAAGATTTACAGAGATATACATTTTTCTGAACTCTGACTTGACTCCCTTGATAACACGTTGCACTTAGAAAGAAAAACATTTCATTCTACAGGTTTCATATGAAAAATATACTGTTGTTTGAAGTGCTCAAGTAAAATTTAATTAAAATGAGTTTTTAACATACAAACTTGTCAGGTCTTAACTGTCAAACAGTAAAAAAGTGGTCAACCATGTAAACGGTCATCATCTTGACAACCGAAGGCTTTTTCTACTCATAAAACCCAGTTGTAATCTTTTCAGTTTACAAAAGACCTGCTCAAAATATTTCCCTTACAGAATAATATGGGTTAAAACTTTACACAAGGATGTGTTGTGACTGGAATAGCTTTTTTCATGTGGTTTTAATTCTGTACGGATAAACACAGGCTTGAATCTACATACTACCAAGATTTCCTACAACATTGCATATACAGTTAGCTTACTGATAATCCCAAGCCAACTATGATATGTACAGTCTGTCAAACATTTCATTTGTGCGTAAAGGCAAGAATGCCGAAGAAAAGCGGGGAAACAATCTCGGAAATACTTACGCCCTATATAGCAGCTTTAAACGGCACTTCTAGATCAAATTGTCAATAACACTATGACTCAAACAGCCACACTTCAATTTTGTAAGTCTGACTAGATGGTTGGTCGACAGAATTCGATCAGCACTTAGAACTAGACAACAAAAAATAAGTTACTCTCTAATGACAACCCAATGTATCTAATCCAGGAGGACATTAATAACGACTCGAACAGCTCAGTGGTACTGTCTCTGAATGCAGCACTGAGAGACGCGGGTTTAAATGTCACAGGGGACATAAGTAACCAAGAAACCACAGATACGCCTACCTGACGAAAGACACCAAACAAAATCCAGATCTAGAGTTTCCTGTTGAGAGTCCCCAACCATATCTCATCAACACAAGTGCACTGTAATGCTGAGTTTCCTAGCCTGACGATAAACACCGGTCAGCATTGAACTAATTACAATGGACGAGTGGGTATTCCTGACAAATAACACTCGATGTCGCCTCCTCTGCCTATGAACTTCTGTCAATCTGCATTTCAGTTGCCACCTCGCCATAAGGGCTCGAAGCCTGCAGGGATGTGTTCACGTGCTTCCAAAAACGACCAGTTTCATTACAACCAACAGTCCCCACTGCACAGTTCAATCAAACAACCTATAGGTCACTGTCAACTGAGATTCAGTCAGACAGCGCACTTTCGCACCTACGAATCAATGATATACACCTACACTTACACCTACACCTGCAACACAACAACAACTAATCATGGAATCTCTAGGAGTGAATCTCCAGCAGTGAATCCCAAACATACACTATACTGGCCGCCGACTGAGTTGATGTCAATAACCACACACAACTCCTGTCTTAATATCCCACAAACTCAGTATATATTCATGGCCCGATATGATACACCTCTGATCAACGAAACATCCTGCTCCATTCAACAGAGTGCCGACACTGAAAGTTTCAATACATAGATTAAAGTTACACTCAAGAAAATAGAAATGCCATCTCCTAAACTCGAATAATTATCAACGGTTCCAAAACTGAGAAACACTAAACATGACTGAGGAATATTCACCAACGGATGTGAACAGAAACAAGATGGCAAACATTGATGTTCAAGCTTGATAGTCATCAGAAGGAACTTGAATACCGACAGAATTGCGATGACAGTCAGTTCTCCAAATCCTCGATGGCTACTTTTTCTTGGGACACTTAGGAAAGAAATTGTTTTGGTAACAGTAAACCGTAACCGCAAAGCTCATAGGACGACTGCTCGAGGATGATGTTCACACATACCTCCTCAGATTTACCACTGATCGTCTTAAATCCACTTACAAAATCATACTACCAACAACAGAACAACACATAGAAACGGAAGTCTGTTACTTTTAGGTCTGACTTTCCTAACTCTCTCCTCACATCAGGAGGGTAACATTAGCACAGACTACTGATCATCCGAGAGAAAACACCTTGTTGATGCTACATACACCCATGAAACCAGCAATACGACTTCGCACCCGGACTCCTCTCAAAGTATAGTAATTTACACCATGATGGTAACTGCCATTTTTCTGGCCAAAATTCAAAAGACCTTTCCGTTATGTTAAGACCTCAAGGAAAAAGTTTTCTCACCAGCATAGCCTGTTAAGCTTTAGTGGTATCCAAGCCCGAACACCACATAAAAGTAGCACTCCTCGGCCAGGTCCAAGAGAATGTCGTTCATTCGAATGCCTATTTTAAGCAGCATATATCTTGGCCTCTATATCAAACTGTAAACAGCTTGACTCAAACGGCCAGATGTTAATATTGCAAGCGTGACTAGAGACAAATGTCTCCAAGTGTCGACCTTGCAAAAAAGCATTAGCATAAAAACAAAACAACACAAATTCGAGAAATAAACAACAGTAATCAATCAGTGTTTACATAGAACATACCGACACTGCACTAAAGAACTGACCCAGTTACCACACTTACCAGAACAAAGACAAAAGATGAAGGAACAGAGATGTAATCAAAACTTAGGAATTCAAAAAGCAATGAAGCAACTATGAAATTCAATACGACGACTAAAATTAACATTGCGTGGATGTATCTGTGCCACCAAGATACATTATGACCATTATCGTCAAGAGTTTCAATGTTGGTTGTCATGCGGATAATAACCGTGATTTCAAATTTTCTGTATATAGCTCAATTCAATGGTTAGACACTTCATACAATAAAGTCAAATTTCAGTTTGATCATTTCTAACCTTTCCCCAGCCTAAATCTACTTAAGCTAAAATGAAGTATCGGCGCAGACAGTGACCAGGCATGTGCAACATTTGTTCCAGTAGCCTCAGTCGATGAATGTTTACAACCTCACAAACTGACTTGCCACTCTTACCCCCCATTAGCGTTACTAACATAATGGTATCGCGACATACAACAAACGCTACTAAGACAATATTGACCAAACACCGGAAGCCTACTCATTTACCGTCCTTTTTATGACCATGTTTCACACGCACGAAGAGAAATGCTGCATAGTACATTTGGGCCTAAGTAGGTAGCCGCATATGCCACCGGTGAAACAAGTGACGCAAGTTGGTCAACGTCAAGCAAGCCTTATGTGTTTGTGCAGATTCCATCGGCTAACCTATTAAGAATATTCAACTGAGATTGAGTAGGTTTGGCCCGGTTGCCTTATCTTTAGCTCTATGTCCCAGTACCAACGCGTCAGCAACGCAGCAGTCAGGTTTGGGGTGGTTTTAGGTAGAAGATGCAAATCAGTTTATGATGCTGGAGACCACCGAATCAGATGGTTGCGACATGTGTTCAGCATTCAGTCATAGTATAACGCGTCGCGCTAGTTGGTCTAGGTTTAGTATGAGAAAAGGTTGACAGACTAAAACATGGCATCGGTCCATGAAGTCCTTGACTGTTGGTTCAAAGCGTGAAAGAAACTTTGGACTTTCCCTTAGAGTCTGCAGGACAATTGAAATCGACAATTGGAGATTCTTGGCAATATGTCTCAGAACAGATATCAATGGCGCAGACGCATGCAGGTTATCATCATCCTAATCGTCATACAGAATCTTACTGTTTTATTTCTTCATTTGTCTTCACAATGTTCTGCCACTTTCGACTACTTGCTTCCTGATCTAATAATCGTTCAACTTGATGTCTTTTACCTTGTTGTGTTTATAGGTGTGGTAAACTGGACCGTTATGCAATAATGTCAGGTTTTATATTGATGCTGATTGACAACGACAAAACTGGATACTGGGTATTCTCTTACGAACAGCACAGGACGTAGACAACTCACCTAATACTTAAAAAATGACTATAACATGCCCCACGAGTGTTCGAAAACAATCTTTAATAGACTGATGGGCTTACAACTGCGCTTGGCTTAGTGAGACACTGCCATAGGACCTTTAGATCAACGAATTCAAATGCCGCTTCAAAGTTAACAAGCACTTAGTGTCCACGGGTGGTTTCTTTCTGTTGCAATACGTGGTGGAGAATTGATACCTAGTCGACATACGTTCAAGACATTTGGTTGTTACAAAAGGATTTCTTTTCTTAAACATTTAACCTGATATTTTGGTACAGTCTCTTATTCAAATTCGGATAGATAACGAAGGTATGCCGTCAAAAAAACAGCAGCGTTTATCTGTAATCTTCAAGATTTTGAATATTTGTATCTACCTATTATTTCTCGGTCCTTCATACACCTTTTCAACTTTGTGTTTTCCGACGATACACTTTTTCGAGCGTGCTGCTGTCAAGTGCGACAACTTGTACTGATGCGTTTGTCTGCTAAGTTATACTTCAGTTTGCTGTCTCTAACAACGAATGACAATCCATAGAAAGTCTACTGAATATCTAAAATGAAAACTCATGACTTCCCGCTCATTTATGCGGGGAAAATAATTTTAACTCAATACCCATCTCATTGATGCAGTAACCTATCTTTTCTGATGACAAACAACCATTCAGGCCAAATTCCAGTCCAAATATCCGTCATTCAGATACAAATTCACACATATTCAGTCCAACCACTCTAAGGTGATCAGTAAATTTGGTGACCATATGAACTTTCGGAAAAATGGGGTCATAAATCATAAATTTATGTTGCAAAGCAAACTTGTGTAGCTCACCTGGATATAAGAACTTGGCAATGGAGTAATGCAGAAGTCTTCCTGTATAATTTTGCCAAGATGATGTAATATAAACATGCGACTAACCAAACGAACGGCATATCGTCCATAAGGAGCAATATCCAGCAACTGATCTGACACAGTTTCCAAGTCACTGGGTCGAGTGTCATCTGGAATTTGTTCTGCTGCAATGCAGGAGTACCGCACACATACTACTGGTGGCTACAAAATCAAAATAAAGTCTTAACCTACTTCAGATGAAATCACATCCAAATGTGAGTACTTGTCATCTTTAATATGCACCAGATTCGGCAAACGACAAAGTAAACCCAGGACTTGATCGATTCCCTGACAATGTGTTCGAGACATTGGTGGGGGTGGTATGTTTTTATTCCAGCGATCTGGTGCGCTGGAAGCTGAGCGAGCGACTGATACGAGTCTTTGTATATGTCCCGCCTGATACCCCTTAAGTGCTTTGAGCGGCTTCCGATCTTGTTTCAGCAGGTTAGAGGAACTCCTTAGTTTTCGAGGCATTGATTCCTCTTTGACTGCAGACCAGGCCCATGAGGGAAGAGGAAATCCACCGGGAAGGCTGTTAACAGCGAAACGTTCGTATGCCCTCCACAATGGTTGGTACTTAGGTTTGAAGCTTTTGTCAGAGCATTTTTCCAAAGCAGTCTGACAAATATAAGGGGCAATCTGAAAAGTCAGATATGCAGTAGGATCGTAGAACTGTGACAGTTCAATTCTCGATTGCTTGGCATTAAATACATCGACGTATCTGCAAAAGTTAAAACAAGTATCATATGGTACGTATTATATGTATAATATCAAGTAAAAGTTTAATTTTTCAAGTGCAGATGAACTATTGGGGACAAATAAATGACCTTGGTGATACAGGCAGTCGGGGAAAACCATATGATAGACAAAGGAAGATAAAAAAGCTAGGTAGAGCTGTATACATATCGACAAAATCACTTGACTGTAACGTATCCAGTTGCCACAATTCACAGCAGCATGTTAACAAAAAAAAGATGAAAAGAGTGATGCCGAAGTAGTCAGATGATGAAAAGATGAAGAATGATAAAGGTACTCACAATTGCAAAGACGACACTGTTTAAATTTGCACCAGTGAAGCCAATTTTTAGGCATGCTATCACAAATCCCTAACCGTTGTACTCCATCTCCTTGAGCCATAAGTCCCAAGGCTCGAACTGAGTCAGGACTTTGTGGACTGCAATGTATTGACCTTTCAAAACAATCATAATTAGGCTAACATCGCACGTTGAGCTAGGCAACACCTTGGCACACAGAACACGCGCCCAAGTAACCTTAGTCACTAAAGGTTCACAGTTTCGTCCACTAACTTGTCTGTCTTACCTTGTACCCTTCGGTTAACCTCCACATCAATCACACGGTATTCCTACCACACACACACACACCACACCACATCACACCACAGACACTCGTGGTCAACAACCTGTTACCTCTTTACATCTACTCTCAAAAACCGTGTTTCATACACGAACAATAAGACAGAGAGGACTGCGGCACTACACTTCTTCCCTTTGGTACGCAGTCACATCTCTCATTAGCCCAACAGACGACATGTTGGTGAATAACAAACAGGCCTTCTGAATCCAAATTGTGATTCTGTCAACAACCAACCGACTTCACTTGATTAAACCTTCCGAGTTAGTGAAGTGGTCAACGCATTTAGCCAATACGCTTCCAACCCTTAAATTAGTAGTTGATGCAGATCAGCCCGAAGCATCATCTTATAGTTGACAGGTGCAAAGCGTACGCCAAATGCTTAGATTTATGTTCAAGGAGTTCAGAAGTGCCTATCTACCAGCGATGATTTTTAAATGTAATTCAAGAAACGTTTGACAAATACCACACGATACCAAGAAATATAAGGTTGTTGGGATTTTTGGAGTTGATGTTACTCCTATTAGGTGGATTACAACACATCCAAAAATGCAATTACCTTGAGGATTTGACCATATTTCCAAAACAATCCGATCACTGCCACAGACGAATCTTTTTGCCTTAGAACAGTACACCAAAACTTCATACCTGGTAATTAATATTTACTCGAAGCACCAAATATGAATAAAGCATGCACTGAATGCAGAATTAAGCTAAGGAACAAAGATCGTGGGCTGCGAAAATGTGTTTCAACAAACTGATAAGAATAAATCACGAAGATCATACAAGTACAACTATCCTAATTTCCGGTAATTTTCATAAGCAGCACGTGAACTATAAAAAAATAAGTAGAACGATTCACAGGATCCTTAATCAAATTACTAAGAAGAGTTTGGACACACGCATAGTGTGAACACCGTAGGACAGTTGATGGATTATTTTACCTAAGAATAAACAGCATACATTTGCAATTTTAAAATCAGCTGGCCACTAGTCAGAGCTATTTGATTCCGAGTTTTTCCAATTACCAGTTTAATTTGCTCACGGAGAATTAACCGAAGATATTACGCAATATAACTACGTGTTCATAAAATTCCACGAGATTTTCGACGCCTAAACCAAATATTTAGGGGGATGATGAGACCATACAGGGGCGTGTAGCAAACTGACTGGGAAAATTCAGTTAACGCGATAGCTAAGTACCACTTTCACCAGTCATTAATCTACATGGCTCCTCAGAACTTTACAAAAATCTAATTAAGCATCCTAGAATCTCCCTAAAAACCTGTACACATTTCGGAAGTGTTCTCCTACCAGCCATGCTCCAACAAAACCAACATTTTACGCTGGAATTCACCCATAAAGGTCAGCTTTACTGCTTACCTGTTTACAAACGAACTGAGAAGACTGAGGAGCTCAGCACTGCTGCATGAATGTGGCAAAATATCTGGCAAAACCTTGAAAGACTCTTCCGACTTTGAAGCTAAATACTTGTCACAAACATCGAGGAACTGATTATGCTCAATTTTCTTCAACAACTTCCTACGAATTCGCCGCTTATTCTTTGATGTCAAGCAGCCTACCTTCAGATCTTTAGTTTCGACTGGATCATTTGCATCATCAAGATCAGTGAAACCCCAATCTGTTTATAATACTTAGTAAATGCACAATACCTTTCTTTCTCCACCCACGCCGTTTGCCCATGAAAATTGTTGATATCACATTTACCAACCTTAAAAGACACGCGTATTCCAGTATCCAATGTCCAATATCTTTTAACGAGTTGGTGTAAACCAACTGATTTCTTCGCGCTCGCTTCCAGGTCTTGCGGAACGGTTCCAGGTTTTTGGTGAATTCTAATGCAGTAAGTCCACTCATTCGATTGCTGTAGCTCTGGTTAGCCCGACGAGCGGTTGGGTATTGTTTAGATTTGTAGAGTGTTGTTTGTTCGTTTGCTTTTTCTTCCGAGGACTGTGGTGCAGATGGGTTCCTCAAATGTCGTGCCAGCAGACAATTGGTCGAACTGGTTGTAAGAAGGAGATGAAAAACACGTTCAGAGAAATCAAGGGAGAGAAAGTGCAGAGAGAGACAAAATTTGAAAAGAAAAGGAAGAATAATACATAAAAAAGAGTAGGAAAAAGGAAACGGCACAGAAGAATAAAGCATTGGTAGGTTCATGGGGAACAGGTGATAGGGGGAGCTTTTGTTAGAGTTCAAGAACGTAGAGTCAGAAGTAAGAAGAATAAATAACATTATAGGACGAATGGGAATATAGTAATTCTTTTAGTAGAGGAAGGTAACTGGAGGGGATGTCTACAGGAAGGTATAAGGTTAAGCCAAGTTCTCAGTGATAGTGGTTTTACTAAGTGTTCAGTAACGGTTCGCCGTACAGAGTTAGTAAGTCGTGATAGCCTAGTCCACATCCCAGTTGGATGAGCGCAAACCGTCCGTTGCTGCGTAACTGTCCAACCTCTTGTTGAAGCTGTCAACAGACAGAGCTCTAGCAGTCTCGGCAGGCAATGCGTTCCAGTGTCCGCAAACTCGCAGAGAGAAGGAGTGTGATCGCACAAGGGTTTTTGCTCTTTGGTGAGCGATTCTGCTTGGGTTACCACTAGGATCGCCATAATGGCCGTTCGGTAGGATTCCACTGTTCGGATGACTTGGATTACTGAGTATTTTGTAAGCCGTTATCAAGTCACTACGTAATCTGCGGTAGCTTAGGGAGAAGAGCTCTAGATCTTTCAGCCTGTCCTGATATGGTTTTTGCCTCATTCCCACGACACCCTTTGTAGCTCGCCTTTGGACTTTCTCCAGGAGGTTCACGTCTCTTTTCAGATATGGTGGCGCAATGACGTTATGTACCTCTAGGTGGGGTTGTATGTAGGTCTTATGCAGCTTCAAAAAGAGTTCCGGGGTCAAGGCACCCAGTTGTCTGCGCATGAAGTGCAGTACTGCGTAGGCTCTAGAGGCATCTCCTGGATAATTGGGGCTAGTGTCTAGTTTGTCAGTTAGTATTAGTCCTAGGTCTTTCTCTGTGGTAGTGTGGAAGAGTTGTGTTCCGCAGAGAGAATAGGGTACCTTCTGAGAGTCTGGGGTGCGGAGAAACATGGCTCGGCATTTATCTAAGTTAACTGCAAGTCCATTAATGTCCACCCACTCTGCAAGTAATCTGAAATCACTTTGCAATGCGCTTGATTCTGTTTCTGACGCCACAGCTCTCCGTAGCTCAACATCATCAGCGTTAAGAAGAATTGGGGAGCTGAAATTCAGTGGGAGGTCATTCACAAAAAGGAGGAATAGCAGAGGACCCAGAATCGCCCTTGTGATACACCAAATGGTGATGTCCTCCAAGTCGAGCAAACTCTGTTGGCTTTTGTGCAGAATTGTCTGCAGTCTAGATAGTCCTGCAACCATGAAAGCACTTGTCCCTTGATATCCAACCTTTCTATTTTGCGAATAAGAACGGTGTGTGGAACTGTGTCGAAGGCCTTAGTAAAATCCAGGAAAATAACATGGACAGGAATTTGGAGGTCCCAGCATGCCACCCACTTATCGCCTACCGCCAGAATGTTTGTGGCTCAGGACCTACCCTTTCTGGAGCCATATTGTGCATCACTAAGTGCTCCCCTCTTTTCTAATTGCTCCCTGAGATGGTCATCTGCCAGACTCTCCATTACTTTTGACACCACTGGTAGGAGGGCTATGGGTCGGTAGCATTTTAGGTTCTGCCTGTCTCCACCTTTGAAGATGGGGGACAGAATAGCACTTTTCCACTCTTGTGGAAGCATGTGATTGTCTAAGGAGTGTTGAAACAAGTTACACAGCGGACCGCACAAAGCACCCGCGCATTGTTTCAGCACAGCCGGTCGGACGTCATCACACCCTGGTGATTTCCCTGGGTGGAGCTTTGACAGTTTTTCGAGGACCATGGCAGGAGTTACCTTTATTCCAGGTAACTCTACTGCGTTTTGTGGTGCTGAATTTCGGTCGGACAGTTGGTAATTTTGGCTTGATAGGGACGTATTGAGTTGCGTATCGAAGGTGGCGCCAAAGGCTTCGGTGATCTCTAGTCCGGACAGGTTCTCTCCGCTTAGGCCTTTCAGGACGCAAGCCCCCTGGCTGGTGGATTTTCTGCCTGCCATAAACCGATATAGGTTTTTGGGATTTGCCTCGAGCTTTTGGGCAAGGTTCGTCTGGAATGACCTCCTGTCTCCCCTCACTCTAATGTTACATCGATTTCTTAGGGCAATATACATGGTGTGGTCAGACACTTTTCTGGAGGTCCTCCACTTGTGCCACGCTTTCCCCTTGGCTTTCAAAAGGCGTTCAGTGCCTCGCTTCAACCATGAGGTTCGTTTCCGCGGTATTGCTGTGATTACTGGGACGTTTTCAGAGACAGCCTTCTTGATGAAATCTCTGACTAGTTCCCAATGTTGGTCAATCGACAGGTTGCTCCACTCCTGAGGCCATGGTGCTGTCGACAGATATTGGTTCATCGCCACGTAGTTCGCTTTGTTGTAGCAAAGACAAGGGCGCGATGCCTCCCATGACAGTTGTTCGGAGAGTACCAGATCGAACACTACCAAACCATGATCGCTGCTGCCGAGGGGGTTTGAACCTGTACATTTCCTACCAGCAGTGGGTCACTGGTAAAAAGGTAGTCCAGTTTGGACGGCCTTCCGCCCGACCCCCAGCGAGTGTCATCACCAATATTCCCGTGCAGCCCAGCCTTTTGGATGGTGTGAGTAGGTTTCGGTCGAACCTTCGGCTTGAGGTTCCCTTGTCCTGCCCAAGATTGAGAGTCGGAGCATTAAAGTTGCCGGCTATAATGACCTGGTCATATCCGATGGACGTCGCCCCAGACATTACTTGCAGCAGTTGTCGGTTATCTTCCATGCTGCTAGTAGGTGTTCTGTAGACGCCTCCTACTAGGTACTTGGTGTGTCCGACCCTAAACTGACACTAGATGGAGTCTGGGAGCCCTGAAAGTAGGGTTTCGGTTGTTCGTTCACTTTTAAGGTTATCACTTAAAAGCATCGCCACTCCATCTCCTTCCTTAAACTCCCTGTCTCTCCTGAACAGACGCATACTGTCTATACTAGTTTTGATGTCACTAATATCCGGTGACAACCAAGTTTCTGTCAGGATTATGATCGTTTCGAGCAAGGTAGGAACAGAGGGATCGTAATTCCCCCATTTTACTTCTAAATCCCCTCGCATTACTGTAAAGACACTTGGCTATGTTTCCAACGACAGGGGGTATCTTGGTGCTGGCAGACTGGAGGGAGTCGTGAGTGGTGGCGAAACTTGCTGTAGGACGGCCAGCTCCAGTGGAACCGGCCCAATCACGTTTTTTCCCATAATGGTTTCTGGGGGTTTCGTAGAGTCCAGGCCTGATTGTGCATCTTGTCTGTTGACAGTGATGGTGACTTCGGCGGTGAGCGGTGCTGCCATTTGCTGTTGTCGCAGTGTCCTGGGCCTGCTTTCACAGCAGCGAACATTCCCACTGATGTTGTCTTTTGCCGTGTACCAAGTTTGCAGTACACTGGTTAAAGGTTCACGACAGCCGAAATTAACAGCCATTCGTCGTCAAACCTGAGGGATGTGGCAGTCTGCACACCGCCGCCGCTGCTATCCCATTTAGCCCCATCCTCGCTGACAACCACTGCCACTGCTGGACGTCGTGAGCATGCCTTTCTACGTCTGTGCCCGTTGTCAGTTCTGGTATGCCGTGGACAACCATGGCTGTTGGTTTCAGCGTTTGGGGCACCTCGCGAGATACTTTTCTTGCTGACCAAGAGCAGTCTGGTCCGGCTCTAATGCTGGATGACCTGTTGATGACTGGTGTGTGTGACATCAGTAAGAATCTTTCCGTTTCTTTAGCACAGCTTCGGGTAACTCTCATTGGCGGAGGCTTTCCCTTAGGTGGGTAGTTGCCTTTGTAGAGCCTACACAGTTTTGCTTCTAGGCTACCCAGTCCTAGTGTGGTGCATACGGTTTCCCATTGCTGCTTGTCAAACGATTCTCTGTTCTCAAGGAGACTATCATGACACACAGGGACGTTAAATAAGATGATGGAGTTCGGCCTGCCATCAGCTTCTCTATTTTCGTGTACTGTGGGTGGTCTTTTGTGGGAAGGGTTCACCTTCATTTCCACTACCACCCATTTTTCCCGTCGCGCAGCGGGGTAAGGCTCTAAGGCGGCTTCGGGGTTAGGGGCGGATGTAATTGGTCACGTACCCGGTCGTCGTTTTGGTCTTTTTGGACTATTCACCAGTGTGACTGGCCGGGGCACAGCGCTGACACTCTTGCTGCTTGGGCCTTGGGTAGTGGTCTGTGTGGGTGCCGGCATCACAGTAGTCACTGCGACGTCTTTTACGACCTCCCTTATCTAGCCTGTAGACAAGAGTGGCCCTATACGGCACTGTGGGTAGATGTGCCAGAACCACGTGCATGGGTAGCACGCCATGAAGGTGTAATATTGGTCTGGTATGTCCTCGTCACGCTGACTGTGCACCCGCTTATTGCAGATGTTACACTCAAGGGCAGCATCCCTCTTGTCTACGGTGGGACTACACGTATGACAGTCGTCAGCCTGACTGGAAGGTTTAGTTAAAGACTTTCTTTTCCTTCTCTTCCGTCTCTCAGTGGTAGCCTTCACAGGTAGACTGGGGTTTGGGCTGGTGGCACCAGAAAGACATGCTCGTTGACGAACCACAGCACAAGGGTTCACGGGGACAGGAATTCGACTTTTCCCAGGAGGTGGTTGTTGCAACTGTCCCCCTAGGGTCGACCCGT